CTTCATCCTTAATTTTCCTGGGCTATTCCTCCACTGGTATCTTTCTTTTGAGACTATTAGAAACTTTCCTTGTTTCCTGTTCAATTAGATCCTTCAGTTCTTCTCTCTTAAGAATGATCTTCCCATATAAATCTGAGTCTATTCTAATTCTTCAATTACCCCTTTTAGCTTCCTCTCACGCTCCTTTTTTTTTCTTTTCTTTTTTTTTTTTTTTTTTGTTACTGCCGCTATCAAAATTCTCCTCATATAGACCTTATGAGCCTCCCATATAGTCGCCTCTGATAACTCCTTTGTTTCATTCATAAGAAAAAATCGCTCTAACTCTTCACTAAAACTCTTTTCTATATCAGGGTCCTGCAGAAGTGTCTCATATAATCTCCATGTGGCTTTCCTTGTTTCCCTCTCCTCCCATTTGTAGTCTCACCATGAAAGGAGCATGATCAGATATGGACATAACCTCTGTTAGATTTCAGCAAACATTCCAAATGCCTGTGCTCTATTAGTACATAGTCCAATCGTGAATATGATCTGAGCGCAGAAGAGAAGAAGGTATAATCCCGTTCTCTGGGATGTTTTGCTCTCCAAGTATCTATTAATTGATTTCGGTATAATTCTTTTTTCAACTTTCTTAATTTTTTCCCTCCTTCCTTCTGTGCACCCGAAGACTTATCCATCGATGGGTCCAAACAGCAATTAAAGTCTCCTGCCACGATCAAACCACCTCTTAAATTCCATAATTTTCCCCATTAGATTTAGAAGGAAGTCTTCTGCTGGGGTTATTATTTGGGCAATAAATATTTACCAATGTGTATCTTTGCCCCTGCAATTTCCCTCTTAATCCTAAATACCAACCCTCTGGATCCACCAATTTTTCCTCAACCTCAGTTTATATTTTTTGCAAATCCTATCGCCACTCCCTTGGATCTCTTTATAGGTGAATCTGCGTAATACCATGTTGGGTAGTATCTTGAGTATAACTTAATGTTGGCGTCATATGAAAGATTTTGTCTCCTGTAGGAAGGCCAGGTCTATAAAGTGTTGGTATACTTCTCTAAGTATCTTGTGTCTTTTGGCCGGAGAATTGAGACCTTTCACATTATATGTCAAAATACTAATCAGACTCATGTCTAATATCTAGTTCTCTCTTAAATCTACATTTCCACCTATAGGTGGGGAAACCATAGCTATTTGACTTATGGACAATTTCTCTCCCAAACCCCTCCCCATCCTTCCCCCTCCTGGTCTATGTATTGCCCTAGAATCTGGCATGGGACCCCCCCCCCACTAGTGATTCTTGTTTTGGGGTATGACTGAGCATATACACAATTTTTGGCCTGTTTTCAACATGGGGGGGGGGGGGGTTCCTTTCTTTTGACTATATTGAGACCTAAGGGAGCTCCAGACACCCTCTGCTACTATAATTCTTACTCATACTTCTCAATATTCAGATGGAGGATCACGGGAATGGCCGGTGGGCGGGGGCGATGAGAGTGGAAGAAGAGAAGAAAAATAGAGGAGATGAGAAAAAAAATCACCCAGTTCCACCTTCCCCCCCCCCCCCCCCCCCCATCCCCCCCCCCCCCCCCATCCCCGAACTCCACATCTGACTACCTTTTTCTTCTATTAACTTGCTGACATTTCTCACTTCTAATTGACCTCTCATTAGTCCCCTCTGACCACCCTACTATATCCACATACTGCAATTCTAAATTTTCACCGAAGTCTCTTAAATTCTCCGGGAATCTCAGTCTTGCCGATTTCCCATTTCTCCACCCAATCAGGCAGGCCAGGAACACTCAATTTTACCGAACTCCCTTCTCTTTCATCTGATCCAACAATGGCCTCAGTACTCTTCTTCTGGATAGAGCCTCAGGAGCTATGTCCACAAAAGATTTGCAAATTTTGTTTCTCCAAATTTTATTTCGGTAATCTCACGCAACTTTTTCCATATTCTCTCTTTCGTCATCGTTATGAAAACACACAATCACATCTCTTGGGGTCTCACAATCCTCCTGGAGGGTGTCTAATTCTATGTACTCTCTCCATTTTTAAAGGGTCCATGCTTGTTCTTCCTAATAGGGGGTTAAGTACACTTTTTTTTTTTTTTTTCCCCGGCAAATCCTTCTATTGTATCCTCTGGTAGGCCCCGGATCGTCAGATTATTTCTCCTTTCTCTGTTCTCTTTTTATATGATAACCGCCTCTGTTCTTTTCCATCTCTTCTACTCGCTTTTCCAAATTTATAATTTCCTGCCCTTGGGCCTCCATTTTTCCCTCTATTTCTTCAACTCTAGATAACATACAACCCAAGTCCTTATGAATCACAGCCATTTAATTTTTTATATAGAGCATTCTAATTTTGCAAACATTTCTTCCAACTCATTTTAGTAGACATTTGAGATAAAGCTCCTGATGTTCCGATGTACTTTATTCTATTATACTCTCATTGTTTATAGATTCATCTGGTTGATTTCCTCCTCGCATTCCAAATGACATTCTAGAGTGTTCTCCCTCCAACTCTCTTTATTTCCTTTTGATTTCCTGGGACCTTGTCTCTCAGGGCTCTTTTCTTGTATTGGCATGTATCTCTTAATGGTACTCGAGTTATTTGATTGAGGGGTCTTTACCCCTCCTTTGGTGGCTCTATTTCTCATAATAAATGGACTTATTCGCACATAATATAGAGAAAGTTAGTCCGAATCATATATGCAGGTCTAGATAGGTTCACAAAGAAATAAGGTATGTGTCACAAGTTAGCCTGCAGTTTCTTGTTAGTCAACTTGCACAATCTACAAGGGCTCACTACCACAGGTACTGACAGTATGATCACGTTCTCCTTCTCTGGCTTACACTTGACCTACTGAGAACACCCGGCACCTTCTTCTTTTACCTGCCCAGTCCACTCTCACAAATGGCCAGATTCCTACAGCGACAATAAGGCAATATTGATGTAAGTATTAAACCATTGTCCACTGCAACTCACCCAGTTGTTGTAGGCACAACTCTGGCTCCTTCTGAATGGATGGATGTTCTGGGTGGGAAGTTGATCAATTCCAAGTCCCTTGTGCTATCAGTGTCTCAGGGTCTTTTTCCTCCTAGTAACGACCTTTGCACAGTGATTACTCAAAGGTCCTTCGAAATACTCTTCGGTTCCTCCTGTAGCTCCAGGGATCAACCTCTGCTCCAGTACCACAGGGCTGAGAGCTGCAGCCACTCAACACCTCCAGGACTCACTCCAATCCTACAGGATGCCCAGCACTGACACTTTTCCTGTCACTCTGCAGTGACTCTTTAGTGACTCCACCTGTCACTCTGCAGCCAGTCTCCAACACAGCCCCAGCATTCCGTCTCCAGCACTGCAGGGGGACCTCCCCAGGATTCCCAAGAGCCTGTCATGTGAGCACCTGCAAGCTCCTGCTGTACCTCCGCTCCACCATGGGGGGTGATTGACACCATCCCTTCCCCGCTCACAGTCTTCTGACCCCCAGGGGAGACAGACGCACCGAGGTAATGTCTGAAGGGTATCCCACTTAGAAGGCAGGCAGTTGAAACCTCTTCTTTGGTCGCCGGAGCTCCTCAGCCTCGCGGGCTCATGGCGTCATACTCAGGCCCCTCCCCCTGTTACCTTCTGTGGCTATTGTTACTACACTGGAAGTTTCCTGATGAAAGCAATCCTAAGAAGTGGGATAGATCCCCATCACTAGAAGCACCAATCCTGGAGCAGGAATGGGTGGAGCCTGAGGATAAGGAAGAGCTGGAGGAAGGTCAGGCAGTAGAATTTCTGTCTGTGGAGTCACAGCCTGAGGAGAAGCAGGAGGTCTCTGCCTCCAAGTCTCAGAGAGTTTTAGTCCAAGACCTCACTGATGTGGTACAGTCTGGATTCAGGCTACCTCCGATAGAAACCTCTGAGGGTACTTATTCTTTCCTGGGTTCTTTGAAGCCTTCACAGAGCACTCAGGGCTTTCCAGTGCATCCTCTTCTGGAGCAAATTATGTATGCTGACTGGGATCACCCAGACACGGTTTTTGTTCCACCAAAGAGGTTTTCTGTTTTGTACCCCATGGAACAAAAGTTCAAGAAACGGGGGATGCCTGTAATGGATGCAGCTGTTTCATCCCTGAATAAATCTTTTACATGACCTGTGGACAATGTCCAGGTTTTCAAGGACCCAGATAAGAAGCTGGAGTCTCTCCTTAAAACTTCCTTCTCCTTGGCAGGTTCTGCCGCACAGCAAGCTGTGGCAGCTATTTGGTATTTGTCAGAGTTTTTCTGGAAAAAGAAAAGGACCGGAAGACCATCAGTGCAGTGGGAATGCTCAGCTGAGGATTTGGAGGATGTTCCGCGTGCTTTGTTTTTCGCGGTTGATGCTCTTAATGATTCAATTCAGCAAATTTCCCACTTGGCCCTCTTATCAGTGCACATGTGCAGGGTTTTGTGGCTGAAGAGTTGGTCAGCAGAACTGCCATGCAAAAAAATTGTTAGCGGGTTTTCCCTTTCATGGGGAATGGCTGTTTGAGGAAGATTTGGACAAATATTTCCAAAAGATTTCAGAGGGTAAATGTACTCTTCTACCCTCTAAGAGGAGATCCAAATACCCTTTTTTTCCTTTACGTCTTTAAGGCCAGCACCTTGAGAGACCTCGGCTCCTCCCCCTCTGAGGAAACACCTCCACCCTAAAATAAAAAGAGCTCCACTCCCCTCTGACCTCAGTTCAGGTGTTTCCTCCGGTGGGGAGACATGAGGAGGCGCAAGGTGCTGTCGCACGGACGGCAGGGGAGTCGAGGGCCGGATAGCCGACTGAAAGGCTCAACGCAGCCGGGAGTGGAGGCCGGAGTGTCCAGCTGCTTATCCTCCCTGGGCAGGCTGCGGTGCAGTGGGCGCGCACACCCGGGTGACTGGGAAGGCACGTACCTGCTCTTCGCCCCCGACCCCCTCCGGCGAGTTGGGGCGTCGGGGAGGCTGTGGTAAGGTCTGGGGAGGATCGGGGTGGAGTCTCGCTCCTTCCCATGCTGGCGGTCAGGTGTCTTTGCCAGGGCCGGACGTCGGGAGATGGCGATTTCCGGGGGAAGGGGCGGGGCTTCACCCAGGGCTGCGACTTCTGCTTCCGGTCGCGGCCCTCACACCACGGCGGCGCGAGATTTAAATGGCGGTGCGGTGCACAGCTGCCTGGGGGACAGGCTAGCACCAGGCGACCACCCTCCTGAGCGGGATGTCGGAGGCACTGGGACCAGGAGATGCCGGCACCAGCCAGACACAGGTAAGGTGCCTCAGTGGAGGCCTCCCCTACCTGTTGACCCCTAGCTCAAGGGGTGTTCCCGGACCCTCGGGTGGTGGGGTGTGTAAGGGGTAGGGCAGGGGGTCTGCGGTGGGAGCAGGCCCTTAGGCTCTGCCAGGAAGGAGGGGGGGGTGGCAAACTTGGTGTGAGGAGGTTTGTCAGGCTTCCCTCCTGCCCTTTCCTTGTGTCTTTCAGGGCAAGGCTCGGGCTAAGCTCAAGCACCAGGAGCCTAGACTGAGATGCCCATCCTGCAGGGAACCTTTAAAAGAAACTTGGAAGAATGTTCTCTGTGGCCCTTGTATAGAGGGGTTAGTGAAGGAGGAGAGGCCGGAACAGGGGGACTTAGCCAGGTCGGTGAAGGACTTGGCTAGCACCTTCGACTCCTTCAAAACCCTCATGGAACGGTTTGCCCTTCCCCAGCCTGCCCCCCCCCCCCCCCGATAGCCTCGGTAGGTAGGAGCAGGGAACCCCTCGTGTCTGGAGAGGAGGAAGGGCCATTGGGGATTCCCAGTCTGAAGAGGAATCTGCAGGGGAAGGTCCCTCGGAGGAAGGCAGGGGTCCCTCCCAGTATAAACTGACCCTAGAGGAGGTGGATGAGCTCCTGGGGGCTATATATGAGACCCTGGACATTAAAGAGGCGGTTAAGACCTTATCTCTCCATGACCAGATGCATCAGGGTTTGGAGGAGCAAAAGCACAGAATATTTCCTGTGCATGACGTTTTGGTGGAGACTATTAGGAAGGAGTGGCAGGATCCGGAAAGGAAGCCATTCTTCTCTAAGGCGTTAAGAAGGAGGTTTCCATTTAGTGAGGACCCAGAGGCAGTATGGAACAAGAGCCCTAAACTAGATGCGGCCTTTTTCCAAACGACTAGGAGGACTGATCTGGCGTTTGAAGACATGGGGGTCTTACCGGATCTATTAGACAGGAGGGCGGAATCTCTCCTTAGGAAGGCCTGGAATTCGACCCTTTACAACCTGAAGCCGGCCATGGCCACGACCGTGGTAGCTAGAAACTTAGAATACTGGCTTACACAATTGTAGGCCCATATTGTGGCAGACTCTCCCAGGGAAAAAATCTTGGCCTCCTTTGAGACCCTTTTGCAAGGGGTCGGATATATCACGGACGCTTCTGTGGAGTCAGTGAGGTTGGGGGCTAGGTCAGCTGCCCTGACCAATTCGGCTAGAAGAGCGCTGTGGTTTAAAAATGTGGCAGGGGGACATCACTTCAAAAGTCAGATTGTGCAGCATCCCCCTCACAGGAAACTGTCTATTCGGCCCAGGGTTGGAGGAATTGTTGGACCGGACGGCTGACTGGAAGAAGTCCTTCCCCCCTCAAGAGGAAGTTGCAGGAGGGAGAGACACGTAAGGCCCGTCCGGCGAAGAGACTGAGCCTGAGGCCAGTGGGTCAGGGTAGGTCTGCAGGCCAGAGAGGCAGGGGCAGGGGGGGGGGGCGATTTTTTTGCCCTCCTGAGCAGCCCCAGAAACCGGGGTGACTCGGTTCCTCCTGTGGGAGGAAGACTGGCGGCCTTCCTCCCGTAGTGGGAAGCCGTGGTCGCCAGCCCCTTCATTTTGGATACCATCCGAAGGGGTTATCGGTTGGAGTTTGCAGGACCACCACCCGAGAAGTTCCTTGTGACGACCCGTCCAAGGGATCCGGCGAAGGCCGCTGCCCTGGTGGACGCCTTGGAGGATCTCGAGGACCGGAGAGTCATCACCAGGGTCCCGATAAGGGAGCGAGGGAAGGGGGTTTATTCCCATGTGTTCTTGGTTCAAAAGCAGTCTGGGGCGTTCAGGCTGATTTTGAACCTAAAACCCCTGAACAGGTCAGTACGCTACCGGAGATTCCGCATGGACTCCATCTTTACAGTCAGGTCCCTGATTCCGCCAGGTGCTTTCATGGCGTCCGTAGATTTGAAGGACGCCTATCTGCACGTGCCTGTTGCGGAACCTTCTCAACGGTTCCTCAGGTTGGCAGTAGGGGGAGAGGGAGGAGTTTGACATTGGCAGTTCAGGGCTCTTCCATTCGGGCTTTCCTCCTCGCCAAGAATTTTTTACCAAGGTTCTGACGGAGGCACTGATTCCTATTCGCATGAAGGGGATTTCAGTGATAGCCTATCTGGACGACTTGCTACTCTTGGCAGATTCAGAGGCTCACCTTCGGCAGAATGTGGTGGTATTGAGGGGCCATCTGGAGAACCTGGGGTGGATTTTGAATCTAGAGAAGTCCTGTCTGGTGCCTTCTCAGAGAGTGGTTTACTTAGGTTACACTCTGGATTCGGTGAGTCAGAAGACCAGTCTGACTTCGGAGAAGGTTGCCAAGTTGGAGGCGGGGATCAAATTGGTGCAGGGGAGCAGGTCGATATCCATAAGGCAAGCCATGTCGGTCCTGGGATTACTAACAGCTTCTATTCCAGCAGTACAGTGGGCAAGTTTGCATATGCGTCCCCTCCAGCTGTGGGTCCTGAGAGTTTGGGACAGGAGGGCTCACTCCTTAGAGGACTGGGTCCTGGTTCCCCCCAGTGTGAAGAGGTCTCTGTGGCGGTGGAGGAGATCGTCCAGCATAGCCCAGGGGCTGTTTTGGTGCTTTCCGGTGTCGAGGGAGGTCACGACGGATGCCAGCTCCTGGGGGTGGGGAGCCCACCTGCGAGGCTTATTGGCTCAGGGGGAATGGTCCTTAGCGCAGAAGGGCAAATCCTCAAATTGGAGGGAGTTGAGGGCAGTGGGGGAGGCTCTGTACACCTTCCAATTGAGGGTCACGGGGCAGCACGTGCGAGTCCTAATGGACAATGCCACGGCGGTGGCTTATATAAACCGGCAGGGTGGAACGAGGAGCAAGGCCCTCGGAGTGTTTAGTGCGGCTACGCTGTTGTCCTGGGCAGAGGTGAACTTAGCGTCCCTGTCTGCGGTACACTTAAGAGGGGATGTAAACCAGACAGTGGATTTCCTGAGCAGGACACGGCTCAGGGAGGCGGAATGGGCCTTGAACCCCGAGGTCTTTCAGGAGATTGTGCGTAGATGGGGATCCCCGGACATGGATCTTTTTGCCTGGGGAAGAAACAACAAGGTCCCGAACTACTTCTCCCTATCCCGCAGGGACGGGTCAAGAGCGGTGGATGCGTTAAGTCAAAGGTGGGATTACCAGCTGTGTTACGCTTCCCCCCGGTTCCCTTGCTTCCCCTAGTTCTCAGGAAGTTCAGAACAGAGGGGACCTCGTTAATCCTGATAGCTCCCTTCTGGCCGAGGCGGGCGTGGTTCGCGACCCTAAGAGGTTTAGCCTCTCGCCCACCCTGGGGGCTGCCACCAAGGGAGGATTTGTTGACGCAGGGGCCGGTCCTTTGCCCCAACGTGGGCAGATTGAGGTTGACGGCCTGGTTTCTGAGCGGCAGCTCCTCTTAGCGAAAGGTTTCTCGCCCAGGGTAGTGGCAACATTACTGGCCAGTAGGAAGGAGGAGACCCAGGCCATTTATGGTAGGGTCTGGAGTCGCTTTACAGCCTGGCGTCACCGGGCGTCAGTAGCAACCCATAGTTTAGTTTCAGTGTTGGAATTCCTCCAGGCGGGGGCGGACAAAGGGTTGTCTGTTAGCACGCTCAAGGGCCAGGTCTCGTCCCTCAGCGTGTTCCTAGAGATGACCTTGGCCAGGGAGGCGTTGGTGGCTAGATTTTTTAAAACTCTCGTGAGACAAAGGCCCCCGAGGACCAGACCGTTTCTGGTGTGGGATTTGGCCAAGGTGCTAGGAGTGATGACTAGTCCTGTCCGATTGGTGAGCTCACCGTTAAGACAGCATTTTTGGTGGCGATTACCACGGCGAGGAGGGTATGTGAACTTGAGGCCCTATCGATCAAAACACCTTATCTCCGTATTTTTCTCAGACAGGATAGTTTTCAGGACGGACCCATCCTTCATTCCGAAGGTGGCCCAGACATTTCAGAGGGAGCAGGACATAGTCCTTCCCTCGTTTTTTCCTGACCCAGTTGGGGTAGATCAGGAAACATTTCATTTTTTGGATGTAAGAAGGTGCATACTCCAGTAGAGAGAGGACTAGGGAGTTCAGGAGCACCGAATCCTTTTTTGTTTTTTTCAAGGGGGCTAGGAGAGGCAAGAAAGTGTCTAAAAGGACGCTGGCCGGTTGGTTGAGACTGGCAATTGCAGGAGCATACCGGGCGGAGGGCCCGGAGGTCCCAGAGGGTATTAGGGTGCATTTCACCTGAGCGGTGGCGGCTACCCAGGCAGAGCTAGCAGGAGCTTCCCCAGGGCAGATCTGCAGAGCGGCGACATGGTCCAACTATGACACGTTTGCCAAGCATTACAGACTGGATCTGGTCTCGGTGCAGGAGCAGGCCTTGGGTCGTAAAGTCTTGCAAGCAGTTAGCCCGCCCGAGGGGTGAGTACTCGCTTATCCTCTCAAGGTGCTGGCCTGAAAGACGTAAAGGGAAAAATCAAGTTACACTTACGGTAACGTCTTTTCCAGGAGTCTTTCAGGCCAGCACCGGTTTCCCACCCAGTTTTGATATTGGTTATGTGAGGATGGCTTATTTCGATTATGTTGTCTCACGTTGTGTCTCCCCAGGTGACCAGAGGATGCTTGGAGAACTGAGGTCGGAGGGGAGTGGAGCTCTTTTTATTTTAGGGTGGAGGTGTTTCCTCAGAGGGGGAGGAGCCGAGGTCTCTCAAGGTGCTGGCCTGAAAGACTCCTGGAAAAGACGTTACCGTAAGTGTAACTTGATTTTTTTTTTTTTTTTTTTTTTTTTAAAAGGTGTCAGGGGCTTTGGTTGCTGGGCCCTCATCTACTAGGCAGTTGTTTCACCACACGTAGGTCCCACCTCCAGGGGTAGATCTCAGAATCAAAACCAAAGGAGGCCCTGGGTGCAAAAGTCATCTAAGACAAAGCCAAAGTCTGCCTCCTTATGAAGGGGTGCCCCCACTTGTTCAGGTGGGGGGGAAGGCTTTTGAATTTTTGTGGTCGCATGGAGGGCTCTAATCCAAGACAAATGGGTCAATTCCACGATTTCTCTGGGGTACAGACTAGAAATTTTGGGTATTTCCCTCTCCCCAGTTTCTAAGATCAAATGTACCAAAGCATCCAGAGAAAAGAAGATCTTTATTTCAGGCTCTCAAGGAGTAAACCGGATATTTTTTCCAGCAGGT